TTGCCGATGAGAAGGTGACGCAGACGATCAATCTCCTCTGCTGTGTTCTCAGTTGGATCCCCGACCTTGAGATCTTCCCTTTTAACTTCTGCCGTCAGGGAGATCTCTGGTAACACCGCCATCTCCTTTTCGATGTCTTCCGAAGTGAGATCGGCCCCTTCATGAACATACTTCGCTTCATCCATGTCGGTTGCATCTCCGCCTTGGCTTGGTTCGACCTGGGTCACTGGGAGCATTCCGCTCACCGGCTCCTCTTCTTTCTCGTCGTCGGTCTGCCAGTCATAACTACCCCAGCTACCAGTAGACTCAGCGCTTTCGGACGCACAGCTACAGCTGTCGCTCCAGTCGTGACCGACAACCATTTCCTCGGTGGCCGCGGCGTGTATTTTCGATTGTGGCATGAGGTCAGGGGTATATTCTGGGAACTCCTTGCGGAGCTCGGCCTCAGCCACATTTGCCGGAGTCGACGCCAAGCCTACCGGTGTTTCGCCACTGTTCGTAAAGGATACGCCGCTCTCCTCGCCTGCGTGAGTTTCCGTACGCGGTAGACTGGAGTCATCGCTGTCCATACCAGAGATCACCTGACCGGGATCGGTAGAGATCACGTCCTCCTCGGTTTCGGTCACCCTAGTCGGATCAGTCGAACTTTTCATCAGCTGCATTTGAGGATGTGTGTCGTCCAGTGTGAGTCGCGTGCATTCTTCTGACGTTGCTGCTGCCTCAACGGTCTTCACTTGTGAAGGCCGTGCTAAAATCGCAGTCGGAGTCCGGTAGCTAGGACGCTCGACCAGCGGTCCAGACTCTTCAACTTCCGCTTCGTTCGCATCTCCAGTATCCACAGCTGCTTTGAACGCAAGTGTTTGCCACTCCCGATAGCGGTTTAAATCCTTCCTAGCGAATCCAGGTCGACGCGGGATCTGCCCAACGGGTAACCAGATTGCCAAACACGCCAAACGATCCAGCACCAGGCGGCCCGTGCTGATGCTGGTGATCCGGAGGTATGACTTGTTACTGAATCCACCATTCACCACCGTGATCACCCATTTTCCCCTCTCGTTACCCACAGTTCAAACCGCTTGTTGTGGGACTTGAGTGAGATCTCTGTCCATTGGCCAGGACCGACTTCATGGAATCCCGTTGCGTAGACCGCGTCAGCCTTGCTGCTATACAGTGGCTTACGGTCGGTCATCTGGATGCGAACTTCGTCCGGCAGACAGAGCGTTCCGTCAGCCAGGTCCAACCTCACCCCCGCAGGAACCATAAAATCCATGCCGAGAATGACGTCTTGTCCTGAGAGATCTCCAACCCACACACGGAACTTGTACACCAACTCTCCAGCCAGAGTGAGCTTGACTTCTGCTCGGCCTTCTGTGCGGTACACAGCATCCCCCACACCAACACAATCCATTGTCTGTGTTGTATCAATTTCACAACCCACCTTACGTGCAAAGGTAGAGTCGATTATCGACACTTCGGCTCCAGTATCAAAGAGTAGGACGGCACGGACATTGTTGACCGCACCGGTCGCCTTCGACAGCTTGAACCACTTGGAGGGAGTGTAATACTTCCAGTAACCTCGACGTTCACCCGGCGACAGTCGAAGGGCCATCACACAAGGGCGACGCGAATAGTCATCTTCATCCGAGGTAAGAGATCTGGCTGTATTCACCGCATTACAGGAAGTTGGGTCTTCTAACGCTCGCGCCTTCCTCTGAACATATGCATAAATGCAGAACTTCGATCGCTCGTCACGTACCAGGCTGTTCAGGCCTGGCGAGCGGTCTAGTTTAACGCCTTCTCGACGCTCTCGGGCAGCAGTCCGGCATGGCGAGTCGGGTTGTACCATTGGCGAGCAGCATCGAAGAAGTCGCCGATTTTACACTGACCTGCTTCGTGAACGTCTCCACAGCACTTGCAGACGTAGAAGCACTTGTCGGTAGGATGGCCCATGCGTCCACACTTCTGGCACGTGAGCCTCTTCCAGCAGCCGAGATCCGTATGCTTGCGAGATCCGCAGTGTGAGCATCGAGTGCCGTACTTCGGGCGCCCCAGTTGGTCTTCGCGGTCTTGGCGCGCCCCTGGCTGTTCACCATCTCCTGGTGTAGGCGTCCTAGCTGCCGAAAACACGTGCGCTCTTTCGTCTTCAGATTCGCTATCGGAACTGCTTGATTCGCCCTTGAACTCGTTGAGATCTCCGTGATCTCCGCGGCGTCCGCGACCGGTAGTCACAACCCGCACCGCCCTCGAGGAGGCTGCAGGGGCGGGAGCCTTTTGGCGGTATTTCGAACCTTGGGTCTCAATCTTGCGACGTTGGTGGCGGCGTCGCTTGGCCAACAGGACGCCTTCGAGAGCTTCTGAGTCAGGCAGCCTCAACACTACCAGAGATCCGGCGAGATCGTCATCTTGGACTGTATCGATGTAGTGGTCGACGTGTTCACGTCGTTGTTCCTTGGTGCCATCATGGATCTTCAAGTTTGCACGTATCCCGGCCAGATTCAGCCGGTATAAGTAATCCAGTGGGTCTTCCTGACTCCCGCGCTGCATGTGGTAGTACTTGCGCGCGAGGGAGATCCCTTTACCGCAAAAGTGGATCTGGAACTGTTCACCCAGGTCAGTCCACGACGCGCGAGCAGTGCGGCTCAGCTGGAAATACCAATTGTGCGCAGGGCCTATCATCAAATCGGCAAATGTCAAGCACATCTCGTCTGGCTGCATCTGATCCCGTCGGAAGGCCGTTCTAACCTTGTTGAACCAGGCTCGGGCGGCTTCTTCGTCATGTTCCTTGCCGCTGAAGTCCTTCAGTTCGGACACAGCCGATGCTCGCAACCTAGTCGCCGTGGACACAGCTGCGACACGACCTCCGGTTCCACCACCTCCATCATAGCCGAGGTCATCGGATAGGTCATGGAGATCTCCTTGGTATTCCGGTTGTGTCTGGGATCGGTACCCGATACGTGGCCGAGCGGGAGACGCAGTGACTGGTTGCATCTCAACGTCTTCAGGCTCGTCTCGCTCGTTCGCAAACTGGTACAGTAGGTCTTCAGCCACATCGCCGGGGCGATCGGGCTCTGTTGCAACCTCTTGAGCCTCCTGGATCCTCCCACGTGGTCCTCTCGCTGGGCGAGTCTGCGCAATATTTGACACTTGCGCAGACTTCCCGCGTCCTACATCGTTTGCAGCGATCGCTGGGATCCCTTGCGCACGTCGTTCTCGGCGGGACACACGCGGGGCCGGTGGAGACTTCTTGGTTGAGGTAGTGCTCCTCATGAGAGCGTCACCGTCATCTTCAAACTTGAAGGAGATCCGCGAATCGTCCAACCGAGGAGGTGTGAGGTCTCCGGTCGGCAACGGCGCGGATGAGTCATCTGCACTCGGGACGAGCTTCTGCAACACTGCGTACACCCGTGCGAGCGTAAGGACGGTGGTTTCCAGATCGTACTCGCGTACATCGGTGGAGATCCGCTGTTCATGTACCTTGAAACCAGCATCTTCGAGCACGCAGAACAGCATCGTGACGGCGTGAAGCGGATCTCGGATTGTTAGCGTGCGCGGGTTGCGAACTGGACCCGTGAGAGGCCATGGCATCATCAGCCCCAACTTACGCAGGAGCGGATCTCTCTGGAGCAGGAACGCAAGCTCTTGACGGAAGTAGTTGACTTCGGCTTCACGAAATCGTTTGTCTTCATCGTGAGTGTCGTTGCTGGGGCCATGGACCGCTAGCGCCGAGATCTCCAGTTTCTCCGTTTTCTTCTCGGTTTTCTTCTTCGCATCTTCGACTTCCATGTAGTCCATCGCAGCGTCTAGAGCATCGCTTCGGGCAGCGAGGTCGGGGATGACCCCCTTCAGATGCTCGCGCTCTAGGTTTCGACCTCGCGTTTCAGCGACGCCGGGGTCCCGCTTAGCAGCAGGTCCAATGGAACTCGGTTTTTGGACCGAGTCCCGGACGGCTCCTTTCGGAGTCTTAACGGGGAAGTTCTCTTCGTAAACGAAATCCTTCGGCTCAGGCGTCCCCATTGCCTGTCCGTCGGTGGACCTAGTGTTTTCACGTTTAACTTCCACCGGTCCCAGCGGAGTTCCGTCCTTCACGTCCCCTTTCGGACTAGTAGATCCGGGCGCGCGCACCATTGTGGTGGAGTCCCTCAGATAAAAAAACTAATAAACTCCCGCACGTGTCCTGCCACGCAACTACGGGGGGGGGGGCTACCCCTGCAAGCCAAATACTCAAAGACAACGAGAACTAGTCCCTAGATCTCTAGGCCTCACCTTGTGTACCCTTGTAGCAAGACTCGGATCTTTATCTAGCGTAATTCCTAGAAGACGTGTAATATGATGGGGTGAATATGGGGTTCCTTACACTCGCAGGCAGAGACTTAAGTTAACTCTGTCGCGGATGCACTTGTACAGCGAGGTAACTCTTCCCACTGTACGACAACTTGTTGTACAATATGTACGAGATCTACTGGAGATCTCCTGCCGCAGCTAGTCTGCGGGTCCAAACCAAAGTGCGAGACGCACACCAATACCTTACTAAACCGTTTAGAGTGTCCTACTGTCGAACACTGAGAGCTGATCTCCTGAGTCCAGACAATGCAACACACTACGCTACTAGAAAGGCCAAATCAATCCAGAACCCCGCGTACACTTCGCAAGTAGGTAGGAAACAGTCACAGTACACACGTAGGCGCTAACCGCACAACACAAAGACTAATATGAAGAAGTACCTTGTCTTGTTGTTGGAAATTCTGAACTAAACTGCCTATCTACCGTGCCGGCCAACCAATCAACCAGTATGCTGCACGCCTTTACCTCATGACGTCATGTTGTCTCCGTGTGGTGTCATCGTCCTTGTTACGGGCCTCCCCGTTCTGGATCTCCGTAAATACGCCATCGGGTTTCGTAATCAGTCGCCGGCCTTCTATACGGGACGCCGAGCAAGGGTGTCCCATAATTCAAGTGGCTCACTCTCGGGTCACCTTCGGGTAACCTCCGGGTCCATCGCCTCACAATCCTTCAACCCGCATTACGACAACAGCGCATGGAATACCAGCGTCCACAGAAGATCTGTGGAGCTGCTCCAGCCGCCCGCGCATCGAGAATGGCTCGAAGCGTTCACGGGCGTGCTTAACCCGCTCACGGTAAGCAGCCGGCTTCTTGTTGAAGTTCTCAACAAAAGCGTTCCAACCTTGACAAAGTGCCTGCCACTCAGGCACTTTGTTGCGAGAAGAAGTCTTCTTGCTGGAGAAGTACCGGAGCTCGTGGAAGAGCCCGATGTAATAATCGCGCCTTTGATTCGTTAGCGGATCAAAGTGCTGCTCCTCCGCAACAGCATCATCGTGGATCCCGCTGCATACGTACAGCGGGATTTCGTTTGGAGGCACAGTGTTGCCCACACGGTCTGCGATCTCTGGCGCAGACGGCATCCACGGATCGCGCGCTGCCTGAGAAGCGCGCGGAGAGCTTGAAGGCGCCACCTCACGCGGGGAGCTTAAAGCCCCAGCAGCGGAGAGCGGAGTGTCGCTCTCGCCGCGCGAACGCTTCGAGCTTGAAGCGTCCGAATCGTCTCCTTCACGAGGGCGTCTCGACCCGGCATGCGGGTCGAGACTATCGCTGTCGATAGACTCCTTGCGCTTGCTCCGGAAAGGCAACTACAGGCCTTGGCTCAGCTCCAGGCCGACCGATCGCAGCGAAGAACCCTCGATCGGAGCGAACATTCGGACGCAGAGCGAAGATTCCCGCGCTGCTCCACAAACTATCCCCGCGTCACGCCAAGACACTTGATCTTCACCAAGTGCTGCATCTCCGGAGCCCCGAGAGAGCAGATCCAGCCCGCCGATGGGTACACAAGGTGAGAACAAGTTCAGCCGATCGCGGATCGTTGGGTCTTGGGGGACCCCCTCCGTTAGTCGGTGTCTGGGCGCTGGTGGGAAGCTTGATCAGGCCTTAACCAGATTTTGGCCGATCCCGTTACACCACACGTGAAGCCGAATCCGTCCAAGCAGGCTCCGCTTCGACCTCTTCCAGTCGCCACGGACGTATGGACGTCTGTCAGCATGGACTTCGTCTTCGGGCTGCCCCGAGACACTCAAGGGTGCACTGGTGTGCTTGCCTTCGTCGACCGCTTCAGCAAAATGCTCCATCTTGCTCCTGTCTCCGCTAACATCACGGCGAAACAGACTGCCGCGATCTTCGTCGACATGGTGAATCGCCACCACGGGCTCCCGTCTTCCATCATATCGGATCGCGACCCGTGCTTTACGTCCGCCTTCTGGCGCGAGCTTTTCCATTTGTTGGGGGCGCGGCTAAGCATGTCCACCGCGTCGCACCTGGAGACGGACGGCCAAACTGAGCGAGCCAACCGTGTCGTTGAAGATGTACTACGTAGCTTCGCTACGTTGTTCAAGTCGTGGAGCACCTTCCTGCCCCTGGTCGAATTCGCTCTCAATAACTGTTATGGGCCTACTTTGGCTCACTACTTTAGCTTACACGTGTGCGCGTGTATGTGAGGAAGCGTAGCTTAGTTTAAATTAGAGTTAATTGTACTCGGGCCTCCGAGTATAGATTAATCTAAATAAACGATCCAAATAATGTTTTTGGGTTAAAATGAGAACTGCTATTTTTGTTTTATGTTTCTGACTTCCTCTAAATGTAATATTCTAAGATAGGAATCTGCCAACGGCTGGTTGGCAGAATTCCAATGCTATGCATGTCGCTCATTGGCTAAAAGTGCTGCTCTCAGCCAATAGGAATCCTAAGTCTCTATGGACCACCCGTCGTGGTGGTCGTAAATGTATGTAGCCATTGGTGTACCTTACACCAAGGTCGAGGAAGTGTTCAAACCTCGAACAGACATCGCATCTGTTAGAGTAACAAGTGACTGTAGCCACTTGTGCGTGTAACCCCGTTACACCATCCCCCCGTCAAGGTTAGACGCGCCGAGTCACGGCACGTCAATCAGGAAATTGACCATTCGTCAATTCTTCACGTCGGGAGAAAGAAAACTCGAGCTCATTCCGCAATGAGCTCGCCGCAGAAGAAGACCACCGCCGCAACAGAGGGGAACCTCTCTGTTGCTCAGTACCATGAGCTCCAGCAGGCAAAGCGCGATGCGCTCGCTGCAAAGGCCGCGTCGGGGACAACCCAGTCGGAGATTGTCCTCGAAGGTTCCGCTGTAGTCAACGACGCCGTTGACTACGAAGACGACGACGTGGAGCTGAGCCAAGGCCTGTAGTTGCCTTTCCGGAGCAAGCGCAAGGAGTCTATCGACAGCGATAGTCTCGACCCGCATGCCGGGTCGAGACGCCCTCGTGAAGGAGACGATTCGGACGCTTCAAGCTCGAAGCGTTCGCGCGGCGAGAGCGACACTCCGCTCTCCGCTGCTGGGGCTTTAAGCTCCCCGCGTGAGGTGGCGCCTTCAAGCTCTCCGCGCGCTTCTCAGGCAGCGCGCGATCCGTGGATGCCGTCTGCGCCAGAGATCGCAGACCGTGTGGGCAACACTGTGCCTCCAAACGAAATCCCGCTGTACGTATGCAGCGGGATCCACGATGATGCTGTTGCGGAGGAGCAGCACTTTGATCCGCTAACGAATCAAAGGCGCGATTATTACATCGGGCTCTTCCACGAGCTCCGGTACTTCTCCAGCAAGAAGACTTCTTCTCGCAACAAAGTGCCTGAGTGGCAGGCACTTTGTCAAGGTTGGAACGCTTTTGTTGAGAACTTCAACAAGAAGCCGGCTGCTTACCGTGAGCGGGTTAAGCACGCCCGTGAACACTTCGAGCCATTCTCGATGCGCGGGCGGCTGGAGCAGCTCCACAGATCTTCTGTGGACGCTGGTATTCCATGCGCTGTGCCCGAAGGCCAACAGTGCACGTTGTGTCTTCCGGGTGCGGCGCGCTTGAGTGACCGCGACCTAAACGGGTACACGACGACTCGTGTACCTGCGAGTCTCAAGGATCTCCGTGCCAAGTTCTTCGCACGTGAGGAACGCGACCATCGTGGGACCTCGGGCGCTGTAGGTGACCACAGCGCTCGCACTACCTTCGCGTCGGCAGTGCGTGGTGAGCTTCGTACGCCTTCACCATTTCCGGAACGTCCTGCAGCAGGACGTCCCGTGGCTTCCATGTATCTTGGTGGGGCAGAAACCCTCTCCAATGAATACGATAACGAACCGGCTGCCGGTTCGGTTTCGGGATACTATGGTTCACAATACGCTCAACAATCCAGCGTGTTGAGCCGCGGGCGTCGCGGATCGGAGGCGGCGGTGGTGGGAACACGCCCCGGGTATGGTCAACCTGGGGTTGACCTTGGCCCGACGCTCGAGGAGCGGGTCGCTGCTGTGGAACAGCATCAGAGCCGGGAGTTCGCCGCTCTGAAGCAGGAGGTGGCGATCCTGAGGGCTCAAGTCGCTCAGGCCACGCAGACCGCGTCGGACATCTCTGTCGACGTGGGAGGTCGCGTCGCACGCTTGGCCCAGCGCGTTCACGCGTTGGAGCAGAGGTTCGCTCCCGCTGGGGCTTCCGCTTCGGGCCAGCCGAGCTAGGTAGCTCGTGCTGCAGGTATGGCTTCAGCCTTCCGACGTAAAAGGTCGGATGGAGGCGCATGCTAGATGGAATATCTAGCGTGTAGGCGTTGCCATGCCGTGCCAACACCGTGAACGGCCCGATGAAGCGCGGAGCGAGCTTGCTCGCCCCGAAGTCGGAAACTGCATGTTTAGGCACGTTTTGAGTAGCTAACAAGACTAATGAACCCTTCTCGAATTCATTAGTGTTGCCCCTGCCAACATTGTCTGCGTTCAGCTTCTGTCGGTCGACAGAAGCTGCAATAGCGTCTTGGACAAACCGAATGACGGCTTGTCTGCGCTGCACGAAGTTGATTGCGTCCGAGCTGAACTCGTTCAGCTCGTTTCTAGCAGTAGACCCGGCCTCTGCGTTCGTCTTCGCGGTGTCTGTACCCTGCACAGACTCGTTCTTTTTCTTCTTTTTCTTCTTCTTCTTGGTCTTGTCGGCGTATGTGCCCTGCACAGACGCGTGCTTCTTCTTCTTCTTGCGCGTAGTCGCGGCTGACACTGTGCAAGTGTCAGCGGCATTCTGCGGCTGCTGCGTTGCAGTCGTAGATCCTCCCCCACTTAAGGAAGGAGCCGCCATCCCGAGTAGACTCGGGAGGCGTGGGTGCCTGATGGTATTCACGTAGAACGGTGTATGCCCGGTCGAGGCATGCACCGAGTTGTTGATGGCGAGCTCCGCCATCGGCAGACACTCGCTCCAGTGTTGGAACGAGTGAGCGTAGCTCTTAAGCACGTCTACGAGCACGCGGTTCACGCGCTCGGTCTGCCCGTCCGTCTGCGGATGGTCCGCAGTCGACATCGAAAGTTGACTCCCAAGAAGTGTAAACACTTCTTGCCAAAGGTGTGCAGTGAAGCGCGGGTCTCGATCCGACACAATGTCGATCGGCATGCCATGGTGTTTGAACACCATGTCAACGAACAGACGCGCCGTCTGTTTCGCAGTCACTTCAGCGGGTACCACAGCAAGATGTACCATCTTGCTGAAGCGGTCAACAAAGACCACAATGCCCGTGTTCCCCTGGCTGTCCGGGGGAAGACCGAACACGAAGTCCAAAGACATGGACTGCCAACACTCCCGTGGAGTTGGTAGTGGCTGCAAGGGAGCCTGCGCGAAAGGCGCAGACTTCACACGTTGACAAACCTCGCAAGCACGGACGTACTTGCGCACCCATTTGTACTGGTGGGCCCAGTAGAAGTCTCGCGTGAGAAGAAGGTATGTCTTCTCACGGCCCGGATGCCCCGCAGTCGGTGCATCGTGATACTCGTACATGATCCTGAGTCGCAGGTCATGGTCATTGGGCACGACAACGCGGTCCGCGTTGTCGTCGACTGCATTGTAGAGTAATAACCCGTCGTGCACCCGATAACGGTGTGCACGAGCACGAAGATGCTTCGGCAACTTCTGACGAGCTTTGTCAGAAGGCGCTGAGCCGTAGGCAAGCAAGAGCTTCGCGTCCACGTCGTGCGCGTACGCGACCTTCACGTCGTCCAACAGTGACGACGTTGGGGTGCTCGATCGCATGGCGTCAATGGCATTGACGTCGGCATCAGTCGTGGCGTAGTCAGGTCGACGCGAGAGCGCGTCGGCCACCACATTGAGTCTTCCGGGTTTGTACTCAACCCGGAAGTTATACTCTGCGAAGAAGGAGAGCCATCTCGCCATCCGTTGCGAGATGTGCGGCGACTTCACAGCCGTCCGCAACGACGCGTGGTCCATATAGACCACGAACGGTTTGCTTCCGAGTAGATACACTCGGAACTTCTCGAGTGCGTACTTCATGGCAAGGAGCTCCTTGTCATGTACCGGGTGGTTGCGCTCAGCTGGCTTCAGCTGACGCGATTGGTAGTAGACGACACGATCACGACCCTCGTGATCGTGCTGCATCAACGCACATCCGATTGCGAAGTCGGATGCGTCGCACACAACGTGGAACGGGCGATCTTGGTCGGCCACCGCCAAGATCGGCGCCTCCGTCAAGCCCTGTTTGACTGCATCGAAGGCCTGCTGACACTCAGCAGTCCAAACCCACTCGGCGTCCTTCTTCAGGAGCTGTGACAGCGGGCGTATCATACTTGCACAAGTACGTGGCCAAGCCAAGGAACTGCCACAGTTCCTTGACGTTCGACGGTGTCGGCCACTCATTGATCACTCTGACCTTCTCAGGGTCAGGGCGGACACCGTTTTTCCCAACGAGACACCCGAGCACGGGTATCTCGCTCGCCCCGAAGATGCAAGC